AAAATAAATTAAAAAATTAAAATACTCAAAGGATAAATGGCGGCCTCTATTGCAGTACCATTACATCCATCTGCCTGATTCTTGTCATTTATCATATTTAGAACTCAGCCGCCCGGATGATCACCTGTATCTAATTATCCGACCTCATCACCCCTGTTCTCATCAAACTTCATTACCTTCCTGTACAATACTGCATCCTCAAAAAAAAAAAGAAAAAAAAAAGGGCATATTCACTCTATCTGGACACTGTGCACTAGCCTACAGTATATTTGTTCCTATGTTGTTGTTTTGTTTTAATGATGTCTTACTGATCTTTTCTTCCATGCTCTGTAGGCAACCTTGGGCGTCTTGAAAGGCGCCTCCAAATACAATGTCTTATTATTATTATTATTATTATTATTATTATCATTATTATCATCATTATATGGACAGAAATACAGACGCAGCCATTGTCACGTGTTGGGCTCCCTCCACCATGGTTGATTAACATGCACATTAAGAAAGGGTCAGTAAGTTTGCACTTGCAGGGCTTTTATTTAGTGAGATTTATTTCACCTAGTAGCGACGATGTTTTTAACCACCGTTCTGACACACACTGTGGTCATGACGGCTGGGGCTCAATCATCTGGTTCGCTCTATTCTATTCTATTAAGAGGTCCTCGCAAGCAGCTCCTTCCTGGCAGCGCTCCAGGCGTTTTCTCAACCCTTGTGCTATTTTTAATTGTCATGTTTCCAGTCTGTCTGCAGTTCAGTGGTATGCACACTGATCAGTTCTGGTAATCACAGTTCCCAGTCATAAATGGTCTAACTTAATTCGAGCTGCCCTTCACAATTATATCCATCTCAGATTCACCATTCACGATTTCATCCATGAATTGGGCCCGGAACATGCCTCAATCCCGTCATGCAGAGCAGTATGCAGGGCAGCCTCTAATCAGCCCGATCTTTTCCTGTTTTTAAGGACATGTATAGTAGTTGTCAACTTATTTGAGCTCAGCAAGTAGAGCATCATTCGTCGACTGCCTGTAGGGGAGATGTAGCCGGTCAGCATACACTCGAAGATGCCCATGCAATCTCTAATCCTCTTAGTGACACTTGTCCAGTTCAGCGGTAGGGCTTTTATCATAGGACCCACTACATCTATTTGGGCAATAATCCTGATCCACTTATGTTGAGATAGATGCATCTAGCTTTGTACTTCCCAATCAGTGTTGGTAATATCTATTAAGGCTGAGCAATACAGGGAGGAAGAAAATATATAAATGAATAAATAAATAAATAAATAAATAAATAAATTCATCTCTTTAATAAAAATAAATAAATAATAACAATAAAATAAAATTAAATAACTAAATAAATAAAAAGTGATCAATATAACATACAAACACAGGGATCAAGGACCAGGGCAGAATTTTTTTTTTTTAGTGGGTAGCAAGTACCCACTGGTTTTTGGGGGGAGCTAGGTATGGCTCCATTCTAGCACCAATTCATAAATCAAATTTCTGCTCCCCAAATTCTCACTAACTCATGCAAATAGCTGGTGGTGGTCTTTCATAGTTTGCTCTTCTGCTACCTTCAATCAAATCCCAGTTATGGTTTGTCCTATTGCCCACCTTTATATTCAGAAATGGCAAATGGCATCAGCCATTGGTTATCTTATTGCTACTGCATCATTGCTGACCTGAAATTTGCTTGTTGTACAGTCCTATGTTCCTTGCACTCGTTCATGTTTCCAATTCCGTCTGCCTCAGTTCGGTTAGGATGACTGTCATTTATCCCACGTTCCCTCAATACCCATGCTCTACGCGTTCTCATGCCGTTTGCACAGTCATCCGTGGCCCTCCAACTACATGCTGCATGCACGACACCTGCTCATCCGCTACTGCTCACCTATCATTTTATAATCCTCAATCTTGCATCACCCATGAATATTCCATTTTGGTTATATAATCACAAATTCTATCTGCCAATTCTCTATCTGCTGGTCCTAGGACATATTCTGCTGTATTCTTTTATTCAAGTTGGCCGTGATTTAATGCAATTTTATTGGTTCATTTCCTTTACCTCGTTCACCTGATCTCTCGCTCATTTACATGGTCTTCGGGACCTCACGCAAATGCACAATCACGGTTTGTGGGACCTCATGCTGCATGCACTAACAACCTTGGTCTTCGGACCTCATGGATGCTCTACCATGTTCTGTGGGACTTCATGCTGTATGCATTGACAACCTCGGTCTTCTGTCCTCAGGCAAATGCTCTATCATGTTCTGTGGGACCTCATGCTGCCTGCACTTACACCCCTGGTCTTCAGGACCTCATGCCAATGACCCACCTTGGTCTGTGGGACCTCATGCATTGTGCTTGGCCTCCCTCGGTCTTCAGGACCTCATGCAAATGCCCCATCATGGCCGATAAGACCTTGTGCTGTACGCCCTAACACCCTCGGTCTTCGGACCTCATGCAAATGCCCCATCATGATCTGTGGACCCCATGCTGTATGCTCCAACACCCCTGGTCTTCGGGACCTCATGCAAATGCCCCCATGGTCTGTGGACCTCTTGCACCACACCAAGGTCATTGGAACGCCTCAGAATTTTTTCCCCGCAAAACTTAATTTTCTTTGGTCAGAGGGACCCACTTAATTTTTGTTTTGTCATATCGGACGTAATTTATGTTTGGTCGTCGGACCTTATTTTAATTTAGCCATTTTATTTAAGTTGGTCTTCCGACCTTAGTTTCTGTTTGGCAATGTGACCTTTTATTTTGTTCGGCCTTCGGACCTTTTATTTTGTTTCTACTGATGGTCTTTAGGACTCCAGTTTGTGCACCCAGGTCTACGGGACCTCATGCTTATACATGGTAATTTCTTTTGTCAAGATGACTTTAATTTATTTTTGGTTGCTGGACCTTATTTTACTGTCACCATTTTATTTGAGTTGGTCTTATGATCTTAATTTTCGTTTGGTCTTTTGACCTTTTATTTACATTTGGTCTTATTGATCTTTTATTATTTTCTGCATACATAGGCCCAGGTCACTAGGACCTCGCACCAGTCACGTTAATTTTAGTTTGGTCATCAGACCCTTAATTTCTGTTGCTGTCATGCTGAAAATTGCTGACTTTAATTTATGTTTGGTTGCCCCACCTTTGCCTTTTGTTTGCATTATCTTAAGTTCGGTCTTCTGACCTTAATTTACGTTTGGTCTATGATCTTTCATTTCTGTTGGTCCTAGTTGACCTTTTATTTCGTTCAACATATAGACGCCATGGCCTCCAGAATCATGCCCATCCCAGCCTTCCCTCTGCCATATGACCTGATCCCCTGCCTCTGCCATTTCACCCTAGCTTCGTCTTGGCTGTTAGATCTATCCAAGCCTCCCTCTGCCACTTCCTTTCCATCTCATCTCACATCCCCTGTTTTCTAGATAGCAGCCCCCCTATTGTTGTCCTAGTCTCTTCCTGACCATATATTCTCATCAAGGTTAAACTTCCCCATTCAGGAGTCATGCAGGCCTTCAGATCTGTTCATTCTCATTCACTGCCTCCTCGTTTCAGTTTGTTCATGCTTCTTTTGCAATAGATTCCCTACTAATCTTTACCGGCTTGTTTCGTTAGAAGCCTGTTGCCTCCTGGTAAGGTAAGTGTGTGAAGGAACGCTATCGCAGGTCCTTCCTGCCTGCTGCTGTCAGGCTACATAACCAGCACTGCTCACAGTAGACTGCACCATGGACACTTTATTGACACTATGGACACTTTATGGACACCACAGCTGCCTGCGTTTGCACATACAATCACTTGCACTAGATGTGCTCCCTTTATCCACTGGTCAATTTCATTCACTGCTGCTCATTATTATCCACTTCCTATTATTTTTATTATTATTATTGTTGTTATTTATCGCCGTCTCTTGTATTTTTGTACTTATTTGCATGCCTAGTTATTTAAGTTTTTTAAGTTTAAATTTGAAATCTTTAATCTGACTCTTTCTCCTTGACTGCTGTAACACTGGAATTTCTCAATTATGGGATTAATAAAGTTGTATCTTATATTATCTTATCTTAAGGATTGCCTCATGTCATATGGTTTGTAGTCCCTCTCACTCCTTACACTGTTTTTGGGGGGTTCCCTAATTGGATACGGATCCATCACCCTCCTCATAGCTCTCCATCTTGAAGGGGTCTAATCGCCAAAGACTTTTCACATTTTCACATTTCATTCTCATGTGCATTTGTAATTAAATATTTTCTTTCCTAACCAAAAAACGTGTCTCTCCTGATTGAACTATTTTAGTTTACTCTCAGAGCTCTCATCAACATGGTGTCTAGCAGCAACAGCAGTGTTCAGGGATTAAAAATAAAGCTCTAACAAGCCCACTTTACACTAATAAATGTTCCAGCAGCTGGTGGATACCAAATCAGCTAAAAGGAGAGTGAATATTGGACATCAAGTGTTCACAATAACCACTACAAATGAATACTATTGTTGCTCTTTGTCAGCTTGATGTGTACATTAGGCATCTGCTAACATGTTGGCACCTTTATAATGTGATAAGGTGTCAGTGTGTTTACGTAGTCTTCTACTGCCCCCAAGTGGCCAAAAATCAATTGATACTGCTTTAAAATGTCCCTTACTGAGTCTAGTGTGTGTGTGTTTGTGTGTGTGTGTGTGTGTGTGTGTGTGTGTGGTGTTTACCTTATTTGCAAAAGAGCAGAATGATACTGGGTTTTTTTTTCATAATGAAAAGATAAAAACATGCAAAAAGATTTTAATTTGTAATCCAAAGTACACATATACAAGGATTCAGGATATTAGCATGTCATTTTCAGAGATCACAGCCAAAAGAACAACAAGAGAAAAAAATACAATCTGTACATATTTCAGTTTACAGTGAGTAGCCAGTTGGAAAGTACCAGAGAACACTAAGGCAAATCATTAGCAGACAAAAGAAACATTGCCTTTTTTAATTTAATCCACCACATCAGAATATCAGGAAGTATCTTTGCTACACAACAACGACTGATGTCTCCCTTTATCAGCAATCAGCTGCATAAGTCACATTATGACAAAAGCAAAACAAACAACAGAAGGTGTCTATCTAAATTCTAGCATAACTGTACATGTCTTCTCGTTGGCTTTGGAACACCAGACTGGCAAAAATATGCAGCTCCTTTGTACAGCTCTGGGTTTGACCAACATCTTGTCACTGTAGAAACCAAAAGACCTCACTGTCAGATGGACCACTGGTCTTGAATATGATGCTGTTTTGTTGTTTTTTTTATTAGGAGTTCATCCCTTTAGGAGCATAAACGTACTTGACAACTTCATGGGATTTTGCCCATAACATTTTAAAGTTACAGGGAAGTCAAATTAGTGAGTTTGTAACAATTACAATAAGTATATATTCACAGCAGCAGACACTGCCACCTCCAACAGAGTGTGCCTGGTACACCAAGAAAGAGTTGCAATATGGGTTGTTTGTAGCCTTGGGCTGAAAACACATCAATGCCGCTGCGGTGCGTCATATGATGTATGTCAAGTACCCCCCTTACCAAAAACTGGACGTGTCACGCTGCAGCTGATCAACAGACGACCATGTCAAGTTATTACTACTTCTACTGAAAGATCTGTACTTCCTCCACCTGTGGACAGCCCCTGATTAAAATTAATTTCTCACCTGAAGAGCAAATCGCCAGAGCTATAACTCACCAGGAAGTGTCTTTTTGGCCATTGTCTTTATAATTTTGGGATTGTGGATGCTTTAGCTTGGGATATTTCTCAACCTCAACCACAAGTTTCTCCTCATCATTCTTCGTCACACATTAAACACAGCAACATCAATATAGTACATCCAATTATACATCCATGGTGAGGAGAGGAGTGTCGAGCTGCCAGAGGAGCAGGTATGCTCATGGGAGCTGGTATGTACAAGCAGAGGGCGAGTGAGGGAAAAATGTATTGAATTCCAGGTGAGGATTGATAAAATGACAGTGGTGTAAAGTGCCGCGGGGCGTCTTGCTGCCACCGGTATAGGGTTGTGCATTGACACTAATATAAGTGTATTTTTTGATGCACGACATATGCCATCGTTGTGTTTTGGCCTTTTAATGTGTCAAACCAGTGGAAATCTCTGGACGTATTTACTGCAGAAATGGACCTGGGAGCGATTCTGTAGTGTATCAGCCAAGATTTACCACTGTCACAGAATTTCATAATGAGGAGCTCAGAGACTGTCTGCATCATGTCAGCTGTTAGAGAAAACAATCTGACCAGCAGAGTGTGAGAATATTCTGCTCCAAAAATGAAGAACTTACTGAACCTGAACACATATTTACCAAGCCTACATTACAAACATTATTGGAAAAATTCCATATTTAACTGAGAGTATTTTGGGTAACCTTTCCATAAATTCAAAAACAGGTGTCATCTTATTATCATCTTACATTAGGGCCAGTATGGTAATAATAATAAATTGTGTTGCCTATACATATTTCACTACACAAGTCGGAGCCTTTGACATGTAGTGCTAAACATCATGTTGACCTTGTCCAGTGATCTCCCCCCTCTGCCAAATACAAAGTGAAATACGGAGCTGGTGTTGACTGTTGAACTTTTTCGGTGTACATGAAGCAAAATTTGGTTAATTTCTCAGGTGCACTGACTCAACCAGTGTTCAACGCAAACAAACCCTCCAGTTTGTCTTATTGTTGGGTTGAACATGATGCAGCTGCTTTGTAATACTTTTCAATTCCAGTCATTCAAAGTTCATCTGACTCAAACATTTATAGATTCCTTGTGCCTTACACTGTGTGCCATGTTTGTGTAATGGCATAGCAACCTAACATGGATTTCTTGTATGGGTGAGTATCCCCAGGCACCTCATGATTAGATCTGATTACAATTCAGAGAGCAACTATTGGATGATAAAACGATTATCGATGTATCATGCTGCAATAAAAGTTTTGATTTCTATACATGATTTATTTTTTCTGACTGTGAGACTACTTGCTACTTTTAAAGCATAGCATACTGTATTTGTAATGGTGCATAATTAAATCAAAATATGAATTTATACCATCTGGCTCTTGTATAGGTCCCTTTTCCCACCAAATTTATAGCCAAAATGCTTCCATACCCAAACTTTTAAACCAGTCGGATTGTTTCCATCTGTTGTTGCTCACAGTAATCTTTTGTGGGATATTTATGGCGGCGCAGTGTCCAGTGATTGCATACTGTAATACTTATTTATTTTCTTCCCCCATCCCTAATTTGTAGTCTTGATTTTATTTCCATTTAATAGCAACTGCCATAACATTCTACCGTCTGGAACAGATTTAGTAAAACTTTGCTGTAAACATTACATCGCATGTAAGAGATATAAAAAATAAATGTGATTTCATTTTTAGTCTGTACCTTTTTTTTAGTGTTGAACTTTTCATCTTTGAACTCATCCTCTGATAACCATTAATATTGATGTAAAATGTCATAAAAAAAGTGGTGTGAAATTGCCAAAATAACCTGCTCTAGACCTGAACCAGAACTGTTGGATGCCTGGTCTGCTACTGTGGCAAAAATTATTCCAAATGGTTCAAAATAAAAAATAAAAATGCTGCAACATGTACAACTATTCAAAGCATCTTCTGCAATGGTAGGACATCCTCCAAAAATGCATATACAAGGGTGCGTATGAGAACAATACAGGGGGAACTGAAGGTTAAGATCAGGGAGGCTAAGGAGAGGTACAGGAGGAAGCTGGAGTGGAAACTCCAGCAGAACGACATGAGAGAGGTCTGGAGTGGAATGAGGACCATCACTGGCTTCAGGACCAACAACAACAGAGGAGCTGAAGGCAGTGTGGACGGGGCCAATGAACTGAATCTGTTTCTTTTTACAGATCTGACAATTCTGGCCCTGTTACCTGTGCCCCCCAGCTATGTAGAGTACTTCAGCATGTCTTCAACATGAGCCTGAGTCTCCAGAGGGTCCCCATGCTGTGGAAGACATCCTGCCTCGTTCCTGTGCCAAAGACGCTGCATCCCAGTGGCTCCAAGGACTACAGACCTGTGGCATTGACTTCCCACATCACGAAGTCCCTGGAGAGACTCATCCTGGAGCAGCTCCGGCCCATGGTCAAGCCACTCTTGGAACCCCTCCAGTTCGCTTATCAGCCCCAACTTGGAGTGGAGGACACCGGACACCATCATCTACCTGCTCAACCACGTCTACGCCCACCTGGACAACCCGGCGAGCACTGTGAGGGTCATGTTTTTTGACTTCTCTAGTGTGTTCAATGCCATCCGTCCAGCTCAACTAGGTGACAAGCTGACAGAAATGTAGGTGGATGCCCCCCTGGTGTCCTGAATTGTAGACTACTTGACTGGCAGACCACAGTACGTGCGCTTGCAACACTGTGTGTCAGACAGAGTGGTTAGCAATACTGGGGCCCCACAGGGGACTGTCCTTTCTCCCTTCCTCTTCACCCTCTACACCAAGGACTTCAGCTATTGCACTGAGACCTGCCATCTTCAGAAGTTTTCTGATGTCCATGGCCATAGATGGACTTATCAGTAAGGGTGATGAGGATGAGTACAGGGCTGTTGTGGATAACTTTGTCACATGGTGTGAGCAGAACCATATGCAGCTCAACGTGGCAAAGACAAAGGAACTGACTGTGGATCTGAGGAAGACCAAGACACTGGTGACCCCTGTTTCCATCCAGGGGGTCAGTGTGGACATTGTAGAGGACCAGTGGTATACCAGTGGTTCCCAACCTTTTTCTTGAGGGACCCATATTTTTACAATTGTAGACTTTAGGTTACTATATATATTTTTGTAAATAATCTTGTTAGATTTTGTTATATTTTCACTTCGAATTGCCCAATATGATATATCTTTCTACTCTTCTAAGGAGCACTTGTAAAGCCAACAATTTCTCCCCAGGGATCAACAAAGAATCTCTGATTCTGATTCTGATGATATCCTACGAATTAGAGCCTGACGAATGACATGGATTACATACTTAATGTAAAGTTCTGTTATTAAAGTTACACAGGTTACGTTTCAGCAAATAAAGTGAATGTGGTTAGGTGTAGGGAAAGAAACATGGTGAGGACATACCTTAAAATGACTCAAAGTTCACATGGTTCTGAACAGCAGTCTCCTGGGGTAAAATCCTGTGTTTTCTGACCCATTCATCACCCCAACCTGCCTCCTTAATGGACTGCATACTTCTTTAGTGGCTCATGATTTATGTGGAAATAAACATATGTAAGAATTTCGGTGCATTGCTTTTCACAGCAAAATGTACTAAAACGGGTACATTACATCAGCATATCTAAAACATTTCACATTTTTCACCCTAAGTGTTAAAAAGATTTATTAGCAGAAGTGGAACTAGCAGTTTGGATAGTGGCATTTCAGCCTTTGTTTCACACGCTGGTCCTTCACCGTTCAATCAAAGCTTTGACATGATGTGATGTTGAATGATCAGTCGTTGCAGAGAAAAATCAGTGTGGGAGAGCAGAGAGGAAATTCAAACTTTAGATCTTGGCTGGTTTTGTTAACACTGGCAGTCAGTCACATTAATACCAGAGCAATGTGGTGAAATGATCCTGCTGTTTATGCATACAGACATGCGCTTCAAAAAGTAAGAAATATATCTGCCGAGTTACACACAAAGGTGTTTTACTGCCTCATATAGAAAGCGACACCAGCTTTAACGAAGCATTGGTCAGAGGAGACATCAGTGAGCAGTGAAGTAGTGTGAGTATATGTATATTTAATTTTGCTAACCTCTGTGATTGATTAAGCTCTACACACTGCCACATACTGGAAGTGTAGGTGGCATTTTCTGACTGAATCAGATTGAAAAATAAAACCTTCAACACCCAGAGCCGTACAGTAAAGCCATGTTTTTGCTGATCAGATCATCCAAGGCATCTGTTAATAGGCTTTGCCCTTTAGACTGTCCATCCAGTGTATCTCTGTGGAAATGACTCACACACACTCTCACACACACGCACGCACGCACGCACGCACGCACGCAGGCACGCACACACACACACTCATCATGGCGAAGTGCTCCTCCAGTTGCTGTTGGGAGCTTTAAAGCAATGTATCTCTAGACTGAACACAATCAAAAGAATGTACAAAAAGGCACATTTGACCCCAGTGCTCCTGTACTGTGAGATTCAAGTGTAAATGAGCATTTGTAGCATGGCTGTTGTAGCTCTTAACCATCATAGAGACGACGTCCCCTCAGAGCGCATTGCTCTGGCAGCTCATATTTGTTAGCATAAGGGCTAACGCTGAATGTCCATTAGCCTGAATGCTAGCCGGTGCCAGGCCTTGCTAGGCCGGGAGTCAGAATGGTCCCAAGTGTCTTCAACTGTCATCAAGGGGCAGCAAGTCTCTTTATAAGCTGTCCAGTGGTAATACATAAGTGCCAATCCATACCCTATATTTATGCCACATCCTCTTTCCTTAACCCTACCCACCCCACCTGAGCTTTGGGGCAAGGTGAGGTGGAGAGGGTGGTTGTTGTGGGTAGGGGTTGGGGGGGCTAATCATCCCCTCCGCCATACAGGTCAGCCAGCTTGCGGAAGCGTGGTCCCCAGTCGCCGAGGTAGTCGTAGTCCTGGTCTCCGCAGCTTGAAGAGGAGTGCAGGGAGCTGAGAGAGCCCGCAGTGGAACCACTGCCCTCATAGTCAAACACAAGCAGGGAGTCGTAGGGGGGAGCGGTGGGGTCATTGTCTGCTGCCTTCAGGCCCTGGAAGAACAAAAGGAGTACACAGCAAGGTCAGCAGAGAGAAGTTTGGAAAATAAGGCCCCCCCCCTGCAGTTGTATGCCTCCACGCACCAGTCAAGTTTCTCTTACAGTTTACATCCACGTCTGTGAAAATATGGATGCTTCACAAACATATTCCCCCCCAGCAGGGCGATCTATACAATCTGTATAGATGAGTGTCACCAATTCAGTATCTGACCAAATGTCTCTCCTTCTGTTCCTGAGTAGTGGCCAGAAAAGTGTTTCATGTACAACAGGGACAACCTGAAAACATAATGCTTTCGGCCATGGCTTTTGCTGGTGCAGAGGCAGAAAAATTGATTTTTCTGCATTACAATTATAAACTATGATAATTACGACCAGTGCTACAGTTTACTGTTGGTTACTGCTGGCAACTACACATCATCATTAGATCATCAAAGCAGAACAATGTGTAGGAGGAACAGCCTTTCTGAACTCTCCCAAAACCTAAATTAAAAGGGACAGGGGTGAGATGGGCCACTCTGAGGGTAAAATGTTTATTGCTTTGGCTGTTTCACCTCATTCTTAAGGAACTCTTTCACCGTCATCCTGACATTGAGGGTGGTAAAGGTGTCAATTGGAAACCCTCCAGATCTAAGTTTCTGATTAACATCCTGAAAAAATCCAGTGTTTGACAACACAGCCAGATTAACTGCCAGTCATTAACTATGCTTTTAAGTTCACCACATCTTCCCCCCTTTTTGTCACATCTATGGGTGCCACCCCAGCTCTCACCTGGGTGAAACTGAGGCCATGTTTACACGAAAACGATCCACTGAAAACAGAATTGTTTCTCATTTTCGTTTTGAAAAAAGTTCCGCGTTTAGACGACAATGTTTTGATAACAATCGCCATGCACACGGATCCACAAAAATGGCCCAAAACGCTGCAGTATACATGCCAGGCCAGTAGTTGGTGGTGTGACGCTAACGCTTCCTTCTACAGAGCGGTGATGTAGAAACAAACAAAACGGGACCGCACAAACGTTTGTCTGGACAGACGACAAGGTGGAGTTCCTACAGTAAATCTACACTTTACTGGAGAAGCGTTGATAAATTCAACAGGGTGAGCAGCACAAATAGAGCTCGGGAGTCCGCCATTGTTGCTGTGATAGTCGACTTTCTCGCGCATGCCTAGTGACTGTAAGCGTAATGCGCATGTGCGAAAAGTCTCAGTTTTCAGAGGAACTGCAGATTGCAAGTTTACATGACAACGGAGACGGTGCCATTTCCAAAAAATTTCACTCTGGAACCCGTTTTCAAAACGTTGCATTTTCAGGCACCCAAAACGCCGCTGTCATGTAAATGATCGGCCAAAACTCAACTAAAGTTTACCGTTTTCAATTGAAATCGTTGTCGTATAAACGGGACCTGAGATAAGAAGAACAGGTGTGAGTCGTAAACTGAGTTTACATTCCTGAGCAGAGACTAAGTTATCTTGTAACCAACTTGAAATGTCTCTTGACAGTAAAACTAAACATTTTATCCATGTTCTAACATTGTAACTGTGCATAATCCTTGTTTGTTAGTTGAATGATTTTTTTCACACTCTTGTAAGTCATAGTATGAGGGAGTTATAATATCATGTGTTTAATCCCTAATGTAATATGGAGTCATACTGCCATCATGTGACGATAGTTAAGAAGGGTTCCCGTAAGGAATCCCATATTATATTTCGAGTTAAAATATAGTTGGATTGATTAATCAACTTGGCTTTATTAATATGTGCTTTGTCATTTAGTATGTTGATGCAATGGCAGACTAGTTTGTAGTGTTTGTGCACGAAACATTTATACTTGTGTTCCGCTGATATATGCGGTATAATAATCATATTAAATTTAATTTGATGTTAAGAGCCAATTTTGACCATAATGGGAAGAGTATGTGTCTATCGCGCACAACATGTTAAAATATATAATCTCACAAAACAAAGTTTCATTAAAGTTCATTAAGTTTCCTCTGAAATAAAGTAATGTCTAAACAAAGAGACCTGCCTTGCTTCAAACACGCCCACTCAAGCTGGTCGGATAAAACTATTGATCTCGGCTCATTTCCGCACTTTTACTTCTTTCTTTCCTTCCTGTTACTTTCTTTACTCTTTACTCTGTTCCTTTACTTTATTTTACTTTTACTTTCTTTTGCCATCCTTCCTTCTAGTTATACTCTTTATGCCTGAACCCGTTATGCTCTTAAGCTCGGTTCCTGCGTAAACCTTTCTTTTCTTACGATCAAAATTATTTTAAACTTTAAAGTTTACTCGACACGTCCAGAATTGTTTTGTCTGTCCTGATTTTTCTTTATTTTTGTCTGTGCCATCAGTAACATCATACCTGAAACAATGAAGCCAGCCTATTGCAACATTTTATCGAACGGCTGACGAGATTGTTTTCAACCTTATTATAAGCAAATAGCCACAGCTAAATAGATAAGCTACTATTCGACCTGCAACTCCATCAAAGACTCATAGGATCCAGCGTCTACCAGACACCTATCAAAGTGTCCGCAAAGCAGGGGTTGTTTTGACGAACCAAGAGACTTTCCGCCGCCTAAAATCACTGAAGGACACCGTCTTCAGGCTCCACTGCCCCTCACCGCTGCGTTCCAGTCTGTATCACCCTGCTGGAAGGCCGTGAAGTGAAGCCGGGAGTTGCCAGCGGCAGTTCGGGGTCATCAGAGAAAAGTCAGTCAGAGCCAACTCTGCTCAAAGTAGGCCAAATCCCCCGCACCTGATGCAGTTGCTGTGTTGTGGTAAGAGTTGATGTTGAATAGGAGACTTAGTTAAGCTTATCTTAATTTAGGTTTCGTCAGGTCCCCAATTTATCTATAGTCACATACTCTCTCACTATCGGCAAACTAAATAACTGACAAAAGTGTTACCTCTTGTCTTAATCCATTTATACATACTGTTGATTTTGTGTTATTTCATATCATCCTCTGTTACTATTCATTTACTCAGATGTTAAACATTTAGCCTAAATAAATCTTCATTTATCGCCAAGTCGTTGTCTGTGGATATTTCTTTTGAACAGGATCATCTTAGTTCCTCACTGTATAGAGAATTGTTAACATACATGCACCTATGAAAAAGTTCACAGCTAAAACTAAATCAGCCCAATGGATTGACTCATTTCTAAAGCAGTTAATGAAACAGAGGGATGAAGCTAAATTGGTGGCAGTTAAATCAGGTTTATTGGAGGACAGATTAAAATACTGCAAACTGAGAAACCAAGTAACTAAACTGAACAAAAGAAAGAAGAAAGAATATTATAGGCAAATAATTGACAGTGTTAAACATGATGGTAAAAGACTTCGGAACACCTTGAATGAAATTATGGGAAGAAAAGGACAATGCATGTGCATCTTTTGTCGAATCAGATGGTATGTTTCTAACTAAGCCCCAAGGGATTGACAGCTATTTTAATATGTTTTTTATCAATAAGGTGAACAATCTGAGGCAGGGTCTAGGATGTATTGATACTAACCCTTGTGAACTGATATGTAATGAAATAATGGATGGTAAAAATTGTATGTTTCAATTCAAGTGTGTAGAGGATAGAGATCTTAAGATATTGTTGAAGTCTCTTCCGAAATATGGCAGTGAAGGCACTGATAATCTAGACAATAAGGTATTAAGTATTGCTGCTGATTACATTTCGGGTCCTTTAAGTCACATTGTGAATAGATGTCTATTATGTGGGGTATATCCTAGACTGTGGAAGGAGGGAAAAATCATTCCATTACTTAAGGTTAACAAGTTACCTTTTAGTGGGCCTAATAGTAGACGTATAAGTATTCTTCCTGCACTTCCAGCAAGGTTATGGAAAGGATCATCCATGTTCAGGTCCAAGATTACTTTAATAATAACAACTTGATTACCAAATATCAACATGCATACAGAAAAGGCTACTCGACTTGTACAGCTCTTATACAAATGACTGATGATTGGTTGAGGGGGATTGCTGACTCTAAAATCGCAGGAGCAGTTATTTTAGATTTCAGTGCTGCATTTGATGTCATTGATCATGACATTTAATTGACAAGCTAAAGTGTTATGGTTTTAGCCAAACTGCAATTACCTTGATGACGAGTTATCTTTCCTCTAGAACTCAGAAGGTTTTTTATAACGGTGGTTTGTCAGATTACAGTAGTTTAGTATGCGGTATACCCCAAGGAAGTTGTCTGGGACCACTCCTGTTCTCAATTTTTATTAATGATCTGCCCCTAGCTGTGAATAATGCAGGTATAACAATGTATGCAGACAATTCTACTGTGTATTATGCAGCAACTACATGTCAAGAATTAAACCAAGTTTTGTCTTGTGAGTTAAATATCGAATAAAAACAAATAAATTAGTCCTAAATATATCCAAATGTAAAGGTATTGTTTTTGGGTCACGATATAAATTGATTTCTAAGCCTAAACTGGAGCTATCCATATCTGGTGAACCCATAAAACAGGTGGACAAAGCTAAATTGCTAGGCCTAGTCCTTGATAGTCATCTATCATTGACTGAGCACATCAATACAGTTGTCAGTAAAATGGGCCGAGGCATTGCAGTTACAAGAAAGTGCTCTCCTTATGTACAGTCACACATGCTTGGTCAAGTGTCGAAATCATTAATTTTGAGCCACTACTACACTACTACTATTGTTCAATAGTATGGTCGTCTGCATCCAAAACTAATCTTGCAAAATTACAAGTCTCACAAAATAGGGCTGCTAGACTTGTTCTGGGCTGCTCAATAAGAACTAGCACTGAAAAGCTGCATTCTAGCCTTTCTTGGCTCACCATTGAACAAAGGATTTTTTCAACAATGGCCACATTTTTTAGCTGCATTATTAACTTAAAAAATCCAGTATTTTTATTTGACCAAATAATTTATTGCAATAACACACATAAACACAACACTAGGTTTGCCAGTAATGTTCATATTGTGGTTTCCAGTCTAAGGACTAACTCATC